TGCATTTACAAACTTAACATCTAAAATTTGATATTCACATTTATAATAATGTGTTGAATCATGATTTATTTGTGAATCACACCCCAATGAATATAACAAGAAAAAAGAGAAAAATGAGAGTGAACAATAATGAATATTTCATGTCATTTTTGGCTAATTTGGTTATCCAATGTATATACAGTGATATTTAAATTTATATGAGAAATAGTGCATTATATATTTTGCACTTGTTTTAACATGGGTTGCGCAGAGTATTCTTGATATTTTACAGGTATGAGTCTATCGCTCAGTTGTTCTCTGGCTCTGTCGGTTGAAGTGGTCTAGCCTTCGACCCTTGATAATAGATGAGGGAATTTATGGACATCTCCTCTCCTGAGATGCTGAGGGGCCAAGTCTTCCCTTGAGTCGATTTCTTCTTGTTGCTTTGGCTTGGATGTATCTTTTTCTCCTTCCTAACTGAACTACTCAGATTCAATCATTCCATCATATTCGTGACTTTTTGGCTTTGAAATTGTTAGCTTTAGCTCCGATGGCTGCATTAGTGTGTCTCGGTCTTATGTCAGTGAACTCTCCTTTGTCGTACTTCTCATAACGTTAAATCTTCTCAGAATCAAGGCTATAATATTTTCTTATGTACAAATCATAAACTTATGATTAAGACTTAACCTTTGCTTCGAAATTAAATATTAAGAGTTTGGATGAGATCTTTACACTGCCTAAAAAACAGCGTGGTCCGAACCATCAACGCCGGACCTAACCGGCTGAACTAATTTATTAATTGCATATATGCCCTCAACGGCTATCTACTTTCATTCATTTGGCTATTAAATGCACCTATTTTTTATTTCCTTGTAAATTTACTTCACAAACCAGGACACTAAAATAAAATAATATTTACATACACAACCCTCAATTCTTATGTATTTACATATGTAGCACCTAGACTTCAATTTTTTTATAAATATCACTTTATCTATAAATATAAATGTGTATTTTAGCTTATAGAAGTTAATATGGTGATATTTGTTAAAAGATTCGGGTGGTATGAATGTAAAAGAAAATAAAAATTTAAGTGTTAGATATAAAAATATAGAGGGATAGGGTGGTATGTATGTAAATGCCCCAAAAATAAAGTAAATTAAATTAATTGATGTCCTAGTTTGTAAGAAATAAGTCTCTAAAACTATTGATGATTATAAGAGATGTGATATATCATATGTTAAAAAGCTATGGAGAGAGCCGATTGCAAATGGTTAACTTGAGAGCGTCGACCGATCGACTTAAAGGGTTGACAGTTGACAGGAGAAGGCCCAGCAACGAGTGGCTTTGTTCAGCAGGTTCTCTAGACAATATCAACTTTCGAAAGAGTCTTATAAAATATAAATGGATAAATAAAAAATAATAATTTCATTTAATTTCATAATTTTATTTTTGAGTATTTGATTAAAAGGCAGTAAATGGACATAAAAATTTAAAAAATATTTTGTATGTTTCAAACAAAATTTGATTTTTGGTATGTTTATGGGCAATAAATATAGTCCCGTTTGACGACGACGACTACTACTACTACTTTTATAGTATTTATGAAATAATTTAATAAGAATAAACTTTCACAATCAAATCTTTTAAAATATAATAATTATAAAAAAAACTGTAAATTTTAAATTTTTACAAGCAATTTTAGCTTGAAAATCATTACAATTAAAAAAAAATATATTTTTTACAAACAATAATTTTAAATATTTGTTTTGAAATTAATGCAATGCATGAACAAGTAATTAAAGCTCATGTAAAACTCAAATTTACATAAATTCAATAATTTTGTTATTATTTTGGAAAATTTACATACATACCCCTCAGTTCCTATGTATTTACATATTTAACACATAAACCTCTCTATTTCTATATAAGCCACTTTATCTATTTAGGTAGAGATATATTTGGTTCCATATAAAACACATGAGGAGTATAAATGTAAAAGATAAGAGGGAAGAATACTTAAAATATCAAAAAAATAGAAAGACGGATGATCAAATTATAACGTTATCAATACTTAAAAGGGGTGGTACATGACATTCTTGCTTTCTTTTTTCATCAAAGCCTGTGGTTCGAGAGCTCATCGGTTAGGCGGAGTTGGCCTTCAGGAGTGGGCCTTCAGTAGACTGTCCATCAGCATGTGTGCGGTCGACAGATGATGGGTGGCGTGGGTGGATGGCTGACTATGGGTTGTCGGCGGGTTGTGAGTGGTCAGCTGGGCTTTGCCGGTTGGTCGATTGATTGTCTGTGGTCGGGCAGTCAGATGGTTGTGTGGTGAACGATCGGTCGGCTAGCTGTGTAACGGTTGGCTGATCTCCACTGCCATCGAATCTCATCTGAATCTACATGCGCTATATTTTTTTGACATACAACTAAAAATTTAAAAAATTGTGGGAGGTTTACATACCAATCACCTAAAATTTTAGCAACAACCTAAACTTAACTTTTATATTTTAACCATGCAAAACTTTATTTCATATTCAAACAAGAGTAGTCGATCGTTATATAGTTATGAGCAGCTATTGGGTGATGGAAATTCTCTACAGTGTAACTGAGTCATGCTGAACTTGAGCCCTCTCAGTTTGAGTTAGAGCTTGATTAATTTTATCGAGCTCGAGCTTGAGTTTAATTCTACGAGTTCGAGCCGGCTTGTTTATCATAAAAGAGAAAATATAATATTAATTGAAATTAGTTTTATACTAAAATAATAAATATAGTAAGCCATTAGAAAAGAAATAATAATCAATCACTAAATCTAAAATATAAAATAATATTTTAAAAAATTTTAAATATTTTAAAGAAAAATCTTCAAATTTAATAGATTTTGAGTGTTTTATGTCAAAAAAATTTTTTTAACGAAAGCTAAAAAGTCGAGCTGGGACTAACTTGAGCTCGAATTATAAGTTCATGGAGTTGAGCTCACGAGCCACTTATTAAGCCTAGCTTGAGCCAGACAGCTTCGGCCATTTACATCACTAGTTAATTGGTAAAATTTTAGTTAGGAGGATAAATTTGTTATATTTAAAAATTTGAATGGTTAAAAGGCGAAAACTCAAGAATTGTACTAATCGTATGCAGACACCCAGACAACCCCTGACGCGTGGGCGCTCCATCGCTCGACTGACCACTCTCATTCTCCCGGTAAAAATCACTGTAAAAAGGCTTCGCTTCCACACTGTGGTGGGTTTCCCGCCATTAATGCAGTGGACCAAGACCATCCTCCAACTGCCCATATATCTACAACTATCCCTCACCGATCGATCGGCGAACTCGAAGAGGGCGAAATGGCTGGAAAGAAGGAAGCGCCAGAGCACCCCGGTGCGATCTTGGTGTGGGAAGACTTGACGGCGGTGGTGGCTAATCCCGGCGGCCGGCAGTCGGCGAGGAAGCTGCTCCAAGGGCTCAGCGGCTATGCCTTGCCAGGCCGCTTGTTGGCCATCATGGGTCCATCTGGCTCCGGCAAATCCACTCTTCTCGATTCCTTAGCAGGTGCTGCTTCTTTGCTGTCGATCGCATGCAGTTTGGTGACCTAGGGAGGGAGAATTGATAGGATGTTTTGATTTTGGTTGCAGGGAGATTGGGGAGAAATGTTGTGTTGTCGGGAAGGGTGCTGCTCAATGGGAAGAGACGGAGGACCGATTACGGTGTTGTGGTACGCTTTAGTTCTTCTTGGTTCTGTTTTATGATTTCGTTATTTTTATGTTCTGTTATGTTTGATCTTGGTTTGGATATTATGAAATTCAGTAGTTTAGTATTTGTCTGGAAACCTTAGTTAGCTTGGTTGCTTGTTGGATGTTTTGTTCGCTGGAACTCTCCTGTAAATCTATATTTTCAAAATATTGAGTGTTGAATCCTGATTTGTCGCTGATCACACCCCAATCAATATATCAATATAGCGTGGAGAGAGAGAGAGAGAGAGAGAGAGAGAGAGAATCAGAAGATTGAATAGTGAACATTAAATTTTATTAATAGTATTGACTTTTTCTGATTTTTTTTTTCTAAAATCGGGTGTATCTCCCCCATTAGTACATGAGATGATTTCCTTATTTTTTAGTGAGATAAGGCATTATGGTGATGTTATATCTTTGTCAATGCTTTAATGGGTTCTGTACATAATATTCTAGGTATTATTTTACAAGTATGTGTGTATCGCTCCACTGTTCTTTGACCCTTTTGTCTGAGTTTGTATGACTAGCTTGATAGGATCAGTTCTTAGTTGGCTTTTTTGATTGACTGATCTCGATTGGCTTCAATTCAGTAGGACTTGTTCGGTCCACCGAGATAGTATGATTGTCAACACTAAGTAATTGTTGGGGGGAACTTTTGGACACGATATGATTTGAGATGCCGAAGGACTTGATCTTCCCTCAAGTTGACTTTTTTCTTGTCGACTTACTTTTTTGTATCTTTATCTCGTTTCTGATTGAACAACTAGGCTTCGGGTACTTCTGTCATCTTTCATGACTCTGTCGATTTTGGCCTTGCTTGCTATAACTCGAGCAACTGCATCCGGTCGGATAAGTGGGTCTTCTGATCTCATACTCACTTTCTTCTGGAATGTTAAATCTCCTCAGAATCATTGTTGACAAGTTTTCAATGTAAACTGAG